TGTATCTCATTAAATATAATAATAGAGCTAAAACTTACTCGTAAAATATATTTAGAATGGGATTTATGTAATAAGTGCAATATTTGTCTTTCAAGCCAATTATATACTTCATCTATAGTAAAATCATATCCAGCTTTTTGAGAGGCTTTGTATAATTTTTTTGCATTTTGCTAATAGCCAAAGACTGATAATAAATTTTGTATAAAGCTGAAGATACATCTACATTTCAAGTTTTGCTAGAATCTATTAGAATAATAGGAATCAATAGGAATTAAGCGAGCATATCTCAATTTATTAGATAGCAATTTAGAATTGCGAATAAAGTTGACTAAAAAGAAAACTATTACCATAAAAAATAAGAAAAAAATTCGCAAGCTCACAAATGATTTAGAACAATGTGAGTTATATATTAAATATCTTGAAAAAAATCTTATCTCACAAGAGAATGAGTTAGATAGATTAAAAGCAGAATACCACTCTACTTTACATAATCTCAAAAAATATCAGAATTATTTGGATCTAAAGGAGGAAGCATTAATCACTTAAGATAACTGAATCATTCTGCTAGAAGATACAGTAGAAAAGCTTAAAAATCAAATTCTTAAGATATTGAATTCCTTCAGTTAAGATCATCAGAAAAAACAATTAACTCAAAATTTTTTGACTAGTCTTTTATTATAAGAAACTGATTGCAATAGCCCTTTTTTCAAGTCTAGCGAGAAAAAAGTAAATAAGAGTAATAAACCTTCTGAAGAAAAACATCAAAAAAATATAGCACTACCAGATATCTTAAGAAATATTAGTATAACTTTAGATCAGATTAAAGGATATATCAATGGCGATACATCATTTGACCTAAGAAATACATTGAATAGAATACAGATCACAATAACAACTATTTGAGAACATAATCAAAGGTATGCTTATAAAAATGCAAACTTACAAGGTTTGCTTAATACATCCCATAAGCAAATCAATAGAATTATGAATGATATGACAAATTTTAGAAATGATTATTTTCAAAGTGTACAGATGATAAAGCAAGTATAGAGAGATGAAAAATAAGCTTAACAACAAAAAGATGATAAAATCAATAATCTTAGAGATACGATATGTAAAAATGTTTATAAAAAATGTTAGTGAAAAAGAAGATATACTGCTTGTATACAGCAGATGCAAAATCTAAAAAAGTATTATAGACAAGCTTAAGCAGATATAGGATTATTAGAATATAATCGGAATCAAGTATATGATCAATATGAAAAATGAAAACAAAAAGAAATAAATTCACAGCAAATTATTTTGAATTTACAAAATAATCCACTTGGAAATATGGTTACCTTACCAGAAGTTTTAAATGCAATAGCCTAACTTTTAGCTTAAATACCGCAATATACTAGTCAAAAGCTACCAGATGACTATTATAATAAGATTATGCAGGCAATTAATTATGGTGATTCATTAGGAGTGGCAATCTTTAATGATAGTGTAAAAACTAATATATTAGCAAAAAAAATGGCGAGAAAGTTTACTCCTCCTAATCCATTTAATAATAATATAGGAAATGCAGTCAATACTCCAGTATTATTTATAGTATAGCTTTGAGAAATATATTGTATAATAAAATTAGGTTCAGCACAGACTTTTATAAAAGTGCTTATTTCTAATAAATTTCTTTCTATTGATACTCAGAAACATATGAAAAACGGATTAGATCACATGTAGATTCTTTATCATTTACAAATGCTTTACCTATTCTTTATAACTATTTACCTGAAAATTTGGAATTACAGATTAAAATTAGAAATCCAGCAGATCTTAATGCCTTTTTTACCTAACTTAATAATAAATAGTTAGAAACTAGTGGACGTGTAGGTGTTTCCTCCTTCAGTAAAGAAACTCTATCACATTCATCTATATAAAAAGAATCACAAGCTGAACATAAATTTATAGTTCGTCTAGCAAAAGATTTGGATTATTTAGGTGTAATAACAGATCTCTCAATCTTAGGATCACATATCTATGATGAACTTGGTAAAAGGTTAGGGTGAAAAATAACTAATGTTAAAAGGAGTTTCTTCTCAGAGTTAGGGTTAGAAATACAAATGCTACAAAGAAAGCTATTAGAAAGGTAGTACAAAAAATACCAGTTAAATAAATTATTCGTCTTTGCTCAATTTGTAGAAAGGCTGGCCATACAAAGATTAATTACCCTGGAGTTAAGAGTACTAAAAAGGTTAATTATGTATACCAAAATGTTGAGAAAGATCTCATTTCAAGAGAACTCCCTGATGACTCTGAAAAACCTGAAATGGAATACATATTTGAGGAGGAGGCCAAAGAGCCTAAAATAGAATATATAGTTGAGGAAGAAGTTGAGAAGAGTGATAAATATGTTGATGATGACGAATCTGTTCTAAACATTACTGACTGAAACTGCTATGCTGTAAAAAAAAAGTGATATGAAGTGGAGTACCTATAAAAAAGACTTACAAGAAGGAATCACTACTTTCAAATCTTGTACTAAAAATACTAAAATATCATGCAATATAATTAGTGATAAGGCACTTCGTATGGCTACAGATCAAATGTATCAAATAACCTTAAAATCTATAATATCATCAATAGTCTCCATTATCCTAAAGAGATTCTTATAGAAAATTTCAAAATTTATTAATACAATATACCTCAAATTAAAAGACCATTGCTTGAATACTATTATGCAAAATCACACAGTTAAAAGAAAAGAATTAGCATAGAAGAATGTTACAAAAAAGTATAAGAGGTCTTGCTTTCGCTATTACAGGTAATAACTACTGAGCAGAAGCCTCTTTTATAAGTTCCATCTTCTTCTCAGGAAGAACAAGTCCTTAAGAACTTGTATCAAGCCAAATATATTGGCCTAAGCCTTTAGAAATAAATTTTTTACAAATAAAGAATGCTAACGATATTGCAACTATTTATTATAAAATAGGAGTTTTGGTAATACCTTGCGTAATTATTGATATTGGTTCTGATTTTTCTATATTTTCAGATAACATTGCTGAACTTGTTAAAGAGTTTTTAGGAATTAAAATTAATAGAAAAAAATTCATAGGCTTAATGGAATTGCAAGTCAATCCATATCCATTAGTATTATAGATAATGTTCTCATAACAATTGGTTTCAGAGAAAATACAACCTCTATAATAGATAAATTTTTTGTTGTACCTGCAAAAAAAGATCAGGATAGAAATGCTAAATCTTTAGTAATTCTTAGAATGCAATAGCAATATAAGACTGGATAGGAACCTTTAATAAAAAGAGAATTTAAGGCCACATGTAATGGAAAGACTATTACCATTCCTTATTAGTTCATAAATCTCAGCGTAATGTTTATACTATAAGAAAGAAGAAATCTATAAAAAAAATAGTTGATTGGATATATCAATATTATAAAAAGGTATTTCTATATCCAGCTAATCTTTGATAACATTTTTTACGAAAAAATCTATACGCAATTGAAAAATCCTATGTTAAGCCTATAAAAAGTTTAACAAATTTATATGCAATTGAAAAATTCCATACTAAGCCTATGAAAAGTTTGACGCGTTTAGAAAAATATGGTACCTATTCAATTAAGCCTTACCTAAACACATATTCAGAAAGTATATTTTTTTCAGATACTTATATCATTCTTTACTTTTTCCGCTTTCTAGTCCATAATCCAGTGTCGTGATGAGAAAAATATAAACTTGGTTCTATTGTCACATTTCTTCCAACATGAGGGTTAAAAAAAATAATCTTATTATTGAGAGTAATAATCTTTAAGTTCTTAACAAAGATAACATCTTCCAAATCTTTAGACTTGTGTTCAACTGACTTTTTTATATCTTTCTTATCATTTTTAAGTTGGAAAATAATAGCAGACAACTTGTCAATCTCTCTATCTTTCATAATTATAGATTTTTTCAAAGTAGAGATATGAGATTTATATTGCTTCTTTAGCTCAGCTGAGCGTGAATTATTCTGGGATTCCAATTGATATTTAATGAATATATCTTTTATTTCATATCTACTATGCAATTATTTATTTACTCTCTTTGTGAGTCATAAGAGCATCATATTCATCTTTAAGACATTTGCGTTCCTTAACAACCTGAGCTTCAATAGTTTTCTTAATATTATTCTCCTATTGTTATACACGAAGCTCATATTCCTCTAATTATTTTTTAAATCCATCTAATCGGAATAATGTACTAGAACTATCAGAAGAGGTATTAGCTTCAATCTTAATCTTATGTTAATTTTTTTATTATAGTATCTATTAACCTCCCTAATAAGCAACTCCTCAATGTCTAGATGGATACCCCTAATCTGCTCCTCAGATAACAGTTTATTTTTGCAGTTTGTAAGGTATAACTATACATCCTTTTTCATAGATAAGGGTAATTGGTTAAGCAAATTCTTATAGTATTCATTGAAATTTGGTTGGCTAGACATATGTTCGATTAAAGGTAAGTGATATAGTTTTGAAAAATTTCCAGAAAAAATATTTCAGGAAGTTTAAAAATTCCATATATTTCTGATAAAACTTTCTGTTTAGAATTGGCTAAAAAAATTGCTGAGACCTAGATTCTAGGAAAAAACATTAAGAAAATGCTAATTTTATTCTGATATTTTCATAATAGCAAGGGCTTTTCTACCCCTTGCATAATTTTTTGATTCAGTATGGCAGGATTACTTGACACTGAATCCTGAGGGAGCAGTATTATGTGTTTTCTCTGAGAGATCAAACCACTTGGTCTTTTTTTTTTATTTATAGTATTTGACTTTTATTCCTTTGAATAAACTGCACTCAGATGCAACTAACTCCCCCACTTCAGACTCAGATAAATCAGAATTATCTGATTTGAATAATAATATTTATTATTTTTTAGATACTTGCAAAATAGCATGAAATTATCATATATTGTTATCCCTTTTTTCCACATATCTATTTTTGCTTCACGTATCTATAATTATGATATTCCTAATATGAGATCAGCTTTTCCTGGCTTCATAATAACCTCAAAATCATTAAAAGCTTCATCACTACTAGAGATCAGTCTATCTTTTTCTTTGTATTGAAAAGATATATCTAAGCAATCTATGGTATCTAATGAATTTTTCACTTTTTTATTTTTATAATGCTTTTCATATCGTTTTTCAAGCTTAGCGGCTAAGTATTTGCTAATTTTATTTGTGTTAGAAGTTGTGTCAATTAATATAGTTGGGAGTGGAATAGAGTCATCCATTGTATTGTTAGTATGTCTAGAAACATTAGTGTCAGCTTCTTGAAATAAGAAAAGTAAAATATTTTTTGTTTTATCTATTTCCATTTCATAGACTTCTGAGTCTTCAAAGACAAAGCCTGCCTTGGATGTGAAAGAAGTGGTCTGTATAATAATTGTTGTTTATTGGGTATTATCTATGTCTTCAGTTAATATTAGGGTACTATCAAGTGTAGGAGTATCAGTTTTTTGTCTTTTTGTAATTTTAGTAATATTGTCATTATTTTTTTCTTTCCGTTATTATTAGGGAATGGAATACTAGTTTCTTGATTATTATCTGAAGAGTTTGAAACAGTTTTGTTATAAGATTCAGGTTTTTTTTATATATGCTCTGTCTTTCAGTTATTGGAAACATTTAGTCAAAAAGATCTGCGAAAAGAGTTTTTATATTTTTTATGTTTTATTTTCTTGTAATTATTAGATAATATTTTCTTGTAATTATTAAATAATAAGTTATTTTAAAAAATTAAAAAATTGAAAAATAAATATATATTAATAATTATTAATTTTAAAAATTTAAAATACTATCATTAGATAGATCTTAATATGACAAATCTAATAAATTTTATTTTATCTTTTTATAATCACTAGATATTAAAATATTATAATTTTTCTATAATATTTTATAGCTAATATATACTTATACTTTAAGGGATAATATAAGTTGATTTATTTAATTTTTAACTCATTTTATAGTAGCTTAAATTATATCTAAATTAGTTAACTCATTTAGTTTACAAGTAACTTAACTTATATGAAGCTCTAAAAATATTTAATAAAAGGTGAATTTATCTTCTAATATTTTTTTTAATTATACATTAATGCTAATTAATTTTGATATTATCAAAATTAAAAATATTAATTTGATATTTATTATAAATAATTAATAAAATAATTACATTTATTAAAATGCAATTTAATTAATAATTTATTAATTCACATTAAAGTAATTTTTAATAAAAAATGTATAATAAGCTTATAATCAATAAGAAAAATATAAAATTCATTAAAAAAAATGCATTAATAAAACCTTTATAAAATTGTTAAAACTAATAATCTCAATTTATAACATATATAATTTATATATAGATAAATATTATTCAAAATATATTACTATAAAAAAAAGCTAGATATCTTAAAAAATCTGCTGTAAAAAAATCTATCCTAAAAAATTTTAACTTTTAAAAATTAGAAAAAATAACAATTTAACTTTTTAAAATAAATACATTAACTAGCTTAGAAAATTTAGACTTTTTTATTTTTTATTTTTTTTTTTATTTTATATATACTTGTATTTTATAAAACTAAATTAAAATTAGTATTTTAAAGTATAAAGTATATAAATTCTTATTTCTAAATTCTAAATAAATTATTTGTGAAATACTAATTTATATTATATAATAGTATATTTACAGTATATCTATAAATCAAACATAGAAAATATTACAATTTTTAGAATTTTATTTTATATTAAAATAATTAAGATATTTAAAAAAAAATAATATAATAATAAAATAAAAAATAACACTTTTTTATAATAATCTCAATTATATAAAATAATCTAGAGAAATTAGATTTCTTTATTAAAGCATTATATAAATTACTTTAACTTAATTATTAACATTTAGCCATTTGATTAGTCTTTAGCTATAACTATTTAATCATTAAATATGATAAAAATAATAAAATTTTATTTTAAGTTTTGACTAGTCAAAATATTATTTTAATATATAATTTATGTAAGTATACAAAAATTAATATTTTAGACATTTAGGATATTCAATTTAAATATAATTTTACAAAAATTAATACCTTTGACATTTAAAATATTCAAATTCTTGTAATTTTGTAAAAATAGGTTAATTTTTTGCAAAATTATAATAATATTGTGTCTAAATTTTAGTAAAATCATGTGATTTATACAGTAACTGATTTGACTAATTAATGATTTAGTTATGATTAAAATAGCTAAAAATAGCCATTACAGTTACACCTCGATATAACAAAGTTACTGATCCAGCTGATCAGGACTTCATTATAAGAATCTTCATTAACGCTATAATGAATTATGCAGAATGTATAATATATAATTCGTTATAATGTTAACGAATTATTCGTTATAGTAGATAATTACTGATTTTATTACATAAATATAATTTTACTATTTCTAAAAATATTTTCACATTATTAATCGTTGAACGACAGTTTTATTAATTTATTTAAATTTTTTTTTAAAAAAATTTATTTTTTTAAAATAAATAAAAATAAAATAAAATAAAATAAAAAATAAAAACTAAACATGACGAAAAAATGAAATTAAGAAACTAAAATGAAACTATAAAATAAAATTAAGTGAACGAGACGAAATGAAAAATGAAATTAAATAAATGAAAAGAAATTATAAAACAAAATTAGGAAAACAAAACAAAATGAAAAAATGAAATTAAATAAACGAAAAAGAAACTATAAAACAAAATTAGAAAAATAAAACGAAACGAAAAAATGAAATTAGAAAAATAAAATGAAATGAAAAAATAAAATGAAATGAAAAAACAAAAAAAAATGAAATTAAACGTATAATACAAAAAGAAAAAATGAACAATATGAAAAAACACGAAATTAAACGAATGATAAGAAAAAAAACCAAAATTTTTATTGTTTTGCAAGCCTTTGTCTTATGTTTCATATTTGCCTTGTAGTAGGCAAATTATGATTTTTTCTACAAGTGTGCCTTGATTCTAAAAAAGTAAATATATTTAATATAAATCTAAAAAATCATTTAAATGTTTTTAATTATTACCTGGTTATTCCAGAATCGAATCCTGAAAAAATTGTATAATCTTTTCATAGTATAGATCCACCTCCTACTTCTTTTCACTCCATTTTAATAATCGCAAAAATCTTAAAAGATATTAATTATACTGTTAAGTTATATTTTTTTTTACGATGTGGCACTGCCAATAACTTTATTAAATTTATACAAAAGAAATACAAAGTAAATCAAATAAATCTAGACTATGTACTAGCTATCCCCCATAGTTATATTACAAACCTATTTGAATTGACCGATTATTATCTTTCTCCTCTAATAATATTAAGTTATATTTATCATTATATTGTTATTTATTTATTTACTTACGTTGTAATCCCATACTAAATTCTTCTATTTCAACTCGTATAAGTGAGTTAAATATGCCATATTAAATTTTTGATTGATTAGTCAAGTTACACTCCTTCAGAATCCTGTCTTATTGTCTCTGTACCTTACATAGTACTCTATGTTTCTCCTCCTTCTTTTCTCGACTAATAAGTCAATTTCATTATCTTCCTAAATGATTCTTGTAGTCATTATTGTGTTTGTAAAAAAATATGATTTAATGAAATAAATTAAAGTGATTTAAAGGTTGATTTAAATTTCAAAAGG